ACTTACTTACTTACTTACTTACTTACTTACTTACTTACTTACTTATTTACTTACTTACTTACTTACTTATTCACTTACTTACTTAAATGTATCATCATAGTATCAGTATCACCAAGGACTGTTTGGACCGTAATAAATAATAGACCATTATAGTTCAAGCAGCTTGATTTTATGTTCTGCTTTCTAATAATATATTTGATCAATCCAAGGAACTTGTTAGAAGAGAAAGAGAGAAGAGAGGAAAATGTGGGTTTGTCACAACTGATATTGCTATAACTATATTAAGCAATACATAAGAAGTATTTTTAATAAGAAGGATTAAGAGCTTYAAAACCTCTGGTTTTTAATCAAACAGCTGAAACTTGAAAGATGTCTGCCACAGCGAAGAGTCATTTGAAAACTTTGACTCCACGTGCACTGTGCAAAACCTTGATCAAACCTTTAGCAAGACCCCTTTGAGTCAACGATGTCTGTTAGCAAAATATTTTGTGAACTACTAATTCACTAATTAACCTATGAAACAACACAAAAATAAACATGACTGGGGTAATTTTGAAGAAACTGAGGTAAAATCYAACTTGGTAGTTGTAACTCTTCTCTTCACCACCCGTTCTTCAACCAACTCACCTGTTTGCCTTCACCAAATTTCCTCCCAGTGTACACACACTCTTTCATTTCTCAGTCAGATTTCTTGTCAGGTGCTGCTAATTCCTGCCACTCGTGTTCTTCCTTGTCCTCTTTATGCCTCCTTAGGTTCACGCCAAGTTTATTAAAATTCAAGTTTTGTGCTGGAACCTGCCTGCTGCTCTCCTTCGGGTCCTTACACCAAGACACACTGTCATGTTGGGAATCCAGACGCACACACAAGTAATCCGAGCTCGCACATCTTTGCTGTGCGTTTGATTTGTATTTCTTCTCTTTCGGCCTGGAAGATGACGTTTCGAATCCCACACTGACCTGGCAGTCCAGTGAAGATGTGAAAAATTCAGCCTTCCCACCGCCAATTAGTATAATAGGGTGTATTTTCAGAGATGGAATGTGTGGGGATGTAAGAGACGGGGGTGGGGGGTGGGGGGGGGGCTGATGATGAGGCTGTAAGGATGTAAGGAATAGTGGGAAGAGGACAGATTGGGGAGAAAAGGGAAAATCAGCGCATGAAGACTTTTTGCAGAAGTTTTTAATAGCTCAAAAAAATAAAAAAATAAAAAACTAAAGAAAGGAATGACCTAAACCCTGATTACTGTAGTTTACATGGCGACCAGCTTCCTTTCACATATTTACAGCAACCTTGATCCAACTCAGTGGTTGTTACAGAGCTTAACGCTCAGCCTGTGTGTCCCTGTGTTTACACAAACGTCAGCAAGTTCTTGTTTATAGCGGATAAGTTACCTGGTTAGTAAAAGACTGAGTTTAAAAGAACTCTCATCTGTGCACTTCACACAGCAAATCTGTAGAAAACAGCTCTGAATGTTATAGAAATAGTACTTTCAGGTTTAAGTAATAATTCATGACATCCTTTAATGACCTAGGTTTTCATGACATGCTGTTTATCAGCAGATAGAATGACTATAGCAGAACAAGATTTGCTGACAACAATCATCCTTAGATATTACTTGTATTTGTGTTTTCCCTTAACCTAGTATTTCCTTAGGATGAAATCTCGCTTTATTAAGATGCAGTAATGGTGTTTGTTAAACAGTATATATGAGGCCTCAACTGCCTCAAAGGGAGCAGGAGCAGAGAGCAGGGGGACAGTCTGATGGCTCTACGTTGTTCCGTGTTTCCTGGTGTTGCAATAAAACTCAGCTGACCGTTCAACAGAGTACCTTCATTCTTGGACCACGTATTTCTGTTTTTTGTTAAATAAGTATTTTCCACAACATCATTTTGGATGGGATGGACACTAAGGTGAACAGGACAACAGTGAATGGTTCAGATTAGTCAGTGGTTCAACAAATGATGAGTCATTCTTCCAAAACACCTGAAGCTGGTCGTCTGTGATCGATGACAACACTCCTGAAAAAGGCTCACAACAGCCTCTTATTGGTTTAAATGTGTGTTGATGAGTTCACAATAAAGACACACAGACGTCCTTTTTTTTTTTATTAAAGATACTTGCTGTTTTTTTTATTTACATTATATACGACAGATGCGCCCTAAACACCAGTCAGAAACCAACAGCTGTCATCAATCACTCCAAAAATACAGCAAACATTTGATCCCAACTGCAGACTCAAACATGGTCCATGTCCAAGGGATTTAAAAAAAAGGGTGAAAAACCGGTGATCAAACATCACCAAAGCTACCGTTTTTTTAAAAAAATGTTGTTTTTTCACAGACAGAGGATGAGCAGGATAATGTTTGTTTTTTGTTATTTTTTTTATTCAAAACTGCTTTTTGATTAATTTATTTTTGACCCAGAAGATAGAGTATGTGAAAACCATTTACCGTGTTCATAATTAAACAAGCAGGGCTCMGATTGGACTTATTCTTCTGTGAGTTACTCTAGATTAAGATATTTTTCATTGTTTTTCTGATAAAAACATACAGTATTCAAAGCTACTGGTTCAAAATAAGACATGGACTGAAAAAGCATGAATAAATGTTTTATTGTAATTGAAAGGAAGATATACCTTGAGGGTGTTGGGGGGCGGTCAGTCTGTAAGTGAAACACATACTAAAAAGCTGCTTTAAGGTTTGTTTTTTTTATGTTTCCAAACTCCTTCAGGCACACAGAACACAGTTTGGATTTGGGGTAAAAGGTGTTCTCATGTCCATATTGTAACTTCTGGAAAACATTTATATGCATCTGATTAGAAGGGACACTATGATGTATATCTTAAAGAAATAATGGAGTTTGGTGAAAAAGTTATGGACAATCAGTATCTTAGCTGTTGTTCAAGTAAATAATATTTCAGTAATCTTAATGCCACAGTCATTTACAACATTATGTCTATTATTAATGTAAAAGTTTTTTGGTTATTTGCAGGAGTGCATAGCTTCAGAAGCAGCTAGCTGTAGCACTTCAGAGGCACGTCCATCATGATTTTTCTGCCAAAATACCCACATTCTGCAACACACCGACTGCGATGTAAAGGTTTATGAAACAGCATTTGCATGGATCGCTGAAATCTTTGAGCTATTTTAACACAACAGCATTAGCAATCTGGTGAAAATTCCTCAATTCCTCCAAATTGAAGTGTTTCAATGAGCTATCTGCMACAGGTAAGGTATTGATTGTTCAGGATCCCACTTCAACAGAAATAAACTCTCTTTAGTGGTGGTTTCATTTAAAATCCCCTGCAGCATTCACTGAACCCTTGTAATAATTTTATTATTGATCATAACTGAACTAAAGACTTGTATCTCACTGAAAACTGTCTGTTTCAGARTGTAACCAATCAGAGTGTACCTGCAACACCTCAGCACCAGGACAGCGAGAGAAGTAAGATTAGGCTGAACCATTTTGAATATTAATCCAAGGATTACAGACTTGGAGAGTTGAGTGTTGGACATGAGTTGTGTGGGTGGAGTGTTGCCGTAACATCCTTTATTTAAGCAGAGTTTGGTTCCTGCTGAAGCTGAGTTTAAACACCACCAATACAACATTTATGCTCCAATAACTCAGTATGTACACTCACCGGCCACTTTATTAGGTACACCACGCTAGTAATGGTTTTGTGGTCATAAAGGGATGGACATGGTCAGCAACAATACTCAGGTAGGCTGTGGCGTTGCAACGATGCTCAATTGGTACCAAGGGGCCCAAAGAGTGCCAAGAAAAGATTCCCCACACCATGACACCACCACCACCAGCCTGAACCGTTGATACAAGGCAGGATGGATCCATGCTTTCATGTTGTTGACGCCAAATTCTGACCCTACCATCCGAATGTCGCAGCAGAAATCGAGACTCATCAGACCAGGCAACGTTTTTCCAATCTTCTCTTGTCCAATTTCGATGAGCTTGTGCAAATTGTAGCCTCAGTTTCCTGTTCTTAGCTGAAAGGAGTGGCACCCGGTGTGGTCTTCTGCTGCTGAAGCCCATCTGCCTCAAAGTTCGACATGTTGTGCGTTCAGAGATGCTCTTCTGCCTACCTTGGTTGTAACAGGTGGTTATTTGAGTCACTGTTGCCTTTCTATCAGCTCGAACCAGTCTGCCCATTCTCCTCTGACCTCTGGCATCAACAAGGCATTTCCGCCCACAGGACTGCCGCTCACTGGATGTTTTTCCTTTTTCGGACCATTCTCTGTAAACCCTAGAGATGGTTGTGCGTGAAAATCCCAGTAGATCAGCAGTTTCTGAAATACTCAGACCAGCCCTTCTGGCACCAACAACCATGCCACGTTCAAAGGCACTCAAATCACCTTTCTTCCCCATACTGATGCTCGGTTTGAACTGCAGGAGATTGTCTTGACCATGTCTACATGCCTAAATGCACTGAGTTGCCGCCATGTGATTGGCTGATTAGAAATTAAGTGTTAACGAGCAGTTGGACAGGTGTACCTAATAAAGTGGCCGGTGAGTGTATGTTTGCTTTATGACTCAAACAACATGTCAACAAAGCAACTGTTGCAATGTTGTAATTTAAAAATAATTACCGCTTTTTTGTTTGTTTTATCATAAATTTGGATACAACCATGGGGAAGATGGAAAACATTCATAAAAATATACTGTTATTTTCTTCTTTAATAAAACTGCTCAGTGTTTTTGCCACCACCAGACAAATGTTTCAAACATTCACTCAGATTTATTTTAGTTTTAGACAAGAATGAACTGTGGCAATAATAAATTAACACTTAAAAACAATGTCTGAAGTTCATTATAGGCAATAATAACTTCACTGTTATGTTGTAATTCATATAATAAAAATAGTAACAATTTTAACTAAACAAATGGCTTTATTATTATATTATTCATTTTAATGTCCTTTCAATGTCCAAATATTAGAAAACACTAATTTAATACATGAAAAAGATACACCAGTATTTCCAAATAAATTGGTGTACCACATATGATTTGATAAATTTAACCATCTGGTTTTTTTTTTAAATACACCTAAGTTATTTCAGTCTTATTTTCACACAGTGACATTAATACATAGTTGTTAAACCTTGGTGTGATTAAAAACAAACATCTTCATCGTGTCATTCTGCTGGTGTCTGAGTCACTTTCCATTACCAGTAATGAGTGAAGTTTTTCATAAACCTGGTAAAAAATTGCCTTGTTTTATGAAATATAAGCCCAACATTACCCTTACATTTGTTTTATGACCTGTATTTCTGATGAACATTTCCATTTAAAGTCTAAAAACATTATAAACCTTGTGCTGGTTTCTGATTTTGTTTGGTACATTATTTTATGTTTTGCTACATCATTTGGCACAATGTTGTCCATTGGGTTGACATTTATGTTGTAAATATGAACTTAAAGCTGCTTTATGAACAGTTTTGAGAAGTAATCTTTTGTCAGCAGTAAAAATGGTAAAATAAAGACTTTTTAAAACATTATATAAGCACACACAGCATTAGAACTTAGTTAAATATCAATGATCATTTGCTTATATTTTTGCATCATTTAGGTTTATGTTAACAAATCTGTGTTGTATAAAGAACAAATCCCAACTAAGAACTTTGTAAGTTACTTTTTCAAATCCTGATTTGTTCTTTATTAATAAAGAACAATGGATTGAATGTTATGGAAGTTATTTACTTTCAGTTAAAACATGTAAATAATCATATGTAAAATACTTCAGAACCATCCAAGTATCAAAACCTTATCTCTTCACTATTTAACATCCAGAAAACATTCCAGCGTTTGGGTTACGCTGAGTCCTCATTTATCTTTTTACTGAGGAATTTGTACTCAATCTGCCAGCAAACAAGTACACTTTAATTTAATTTGTTAATTTAGATGGATAACTTTTACTTCTGCCTTAAGAAGCTATTACGAAAAAAAAATAAACATTTTAGCAAATTGATGAAAGTGCATACTATGATTTTGTACAGGACAAATTTGTTATTGGTGGTATATTTTGTGTATCATTAGATCTGAATAAAAAAGTGTAAAAGTAAATCATCTACATTTTTTAAGGAAGAGTGCTGGATTTGTCTCGTCAAACAAACAAATAAATCAAGTTGTTTCCCCTGGTGGCATGAAAGCTCAACAGAGGCTTAGTGACAAAAAAGTGTCCCTTTTATAGTCCAAATGCTGAAAATGAAGTTTAAATATATTTCAACAATAAAGTCAAAATAACAAGAATAAAGTTGCCCAGATCAAATTCTTTCCACTTTGGCACATAAACACAATTTTTGTAGCTTTTATCTGGAGCTACATATAACCTTTAAATATATTTTCCAAAAATCCTAGCAGCTTATGCGGGTATGAAATTTACCAGTGAAAAAATAACAAAAAATAAAAACATAGTTCACTGCTCCCTCAAACTTAATTTTATTCTTGAAATGATACTGCTTTATTCTGACCATTTTTACTTTAATCTCAATTAGTTTAATCTCAAAATAGGGCAACAAAGGAAAATTACTTCTCCTGAAGGTGAGTGACCCTAAGACTGTTGTGTTAACTAATATGGGCTGAAACATGGCTGCAGGAATAAATCCACATGTGTAAATCTGATGATGTGTAAAGTAAAAAACTGTGTAAATTAAACCAAAGCAGMCCAACTTTACCACAGACCTCCCAAAAGCAAAACTCTCAGTAACAATGTCAGGAGAGGCTGAAAAAGATCAATTTCATTAAGGGGACAATGTCAAAGACACAAAAATGAAAAAGAATAAAAAATAAAAGGTTACGGGGGCTAAAACTGTCAAACCTTAATCAGAACAGTTTCACCATTTTGGCTTTTGTTATTTTTTTTTTAACGAAACAAGCCTAAACGAACAACATCAGCACCAAAACAAAAACAAAAAAGCTCAGTTGGAAACGAAGAATGAGACTGAACTGAATAACAACCTGATTTCTCATGAAGATGTTTACTGCAGAGTGAACAGAGAACTGTGGTCCAGCCTTAAAAGGCTACTCAGAAATGGCAACATTACATTATTAAATGTTTATAACCACTGACGTGTAAATCCACATTTCATGCCATTTACTGTCAAATAAGGAAACTGAAAAAAATTAAGTATTTTTCAACTTTCTAATATTTTACTTTAATCCATCTAATAATTGTCCTGATTTTAACAGGTATGAAGGCACAAAGATGGGGAATATTTTCAGTCATAGACCTTACAAAGAAACGAGTGGGCTTATTTAATAATAGATGATTGTAAATTTAGATTAGTATGGATGTTGTTGGAAGTTGCTTCTTTTCATACCTCAAAACTAATCCTCAACTGGCTCTAGCTTGATAGTTTTTAGGTTAAACACAGCAGCAGGTTTCTTAAATAAAGTTGGTAAAACATGGCCTAACTTAAAGATGGCGAACCAGGAGCTGTAGTGTTTGCTATTATTGACACTTCTGGCACCAGAAGATGCAGCAAACATGTGGCAATGAGGCTATCTTCCACAAACAAATTCACACAGATTCACTCTTCATCACCCACGTCATTAATAAAAAGTAGATTTGTTCTCTTTGCACAATTCTGTGGTGAATGAATGGAACAGTAGTCATGTTTTCACCCAGTGCTGTGAAGTCCAAACTCAGGTCAGGGTTTCAGGTCAGGGAGGTGGAGGATCACGAAGTCTGACGCTGGGACATCCAGCTAGGTCATCACGTTTTATAATAAAGTTTCTCTGCAACTTGATTAAATCCATCCACCTTCATTTTTAAGGGATGAAAGAACAGCGCAGTTGATGTTCCTCAAGTTTATTAGAAGGAAAGCTCCACTTCTCTGGGGAGATATGAGACATGTTGTTCTTTTTCACCTAAGCCGAAAAGCCGAGTTTTTACCACTGCATTTGCATATCCAAAAATTCTGTTTCCTACATGTTCCTCGAGTTCAAGCAAGTCCAGTCGCTCACATTACGAACACCTGTGCAAACTGGTCGGTGTGTGACTCTACAAGCTTGTTTCTCTTAGAAACATGGTCCCGATGCTGTAGGAGACTTTCCTCATGGAGGCCGGGGGGGCGGAGCGGGAGCTGGTGAGAGAAGCGTGGCTGTGGGACGTGCCTGCCTCCAGGAAGTAACATGTCCCTGGAATCTCTTTGGGAAAATTATCTGGGAGGTCCTGGCGTGAGCGGGGGACAAAAGAAAAAGAGCGGTCGTCCTTCAGCAATCTGTTGACGGGAAAAGGGAAGTAAAAACTTTGAATGAAACAAAAATATAGTTACCAGTTTGACACTTCTAAAAAATATCCATTATTATAACATAACAAGCATCGTGCACTGTTCTGGTACTTACAGGTATGTCGTCGGACTGACATTGATGCACCTCGGATGGCTTCCCGATTCGAACTTGCTGGCTAGAGTCACGTTGTTCCCAAACAGACAGTAACGTGGCATTTTCACTCCAACCACGCCTGCCAGAACCGAACCTGTGTGGATACCTATTCTTAGCTGAGAAAGACATGGGATGGTGAAGGACAAGGGGAGTGTTGGAGGCAGAACAGAAGGGACATTAGTGTGATGACATGTCAGCCCGCTCTTTAAATTGTTCTTGATACTCTTCCTAACCATTCCACCTCTTCGTTTTTATACACTAAATGTCATTACAACATGCTGTGGTTAATAATGTGGTTTGAAATGATTTCCTTTCAGCTGCTTCCCTCTTGCTGAGGTCAACAAAGTGAGCAAACGTTTGTAAGAATATTCGTGTTCAAAGACCGAAGTCAGTAGAAAACCACCAATGTTAAATAAGATGATTGTTAGACGAGATAAAACCATACAAAACCAGAATTCTGGGAGTGAGGATTTAATGCCATTCGGATCTGACAGGAAACCACACACTG